TCGAGTGAGTGGCACGGTACACCCTCGCTGCTTCGGGATGCCGATTGTCGACAAAGCCAGTCTTTGTATTCTGGTGTTCTTTGCCACGTTGTCTACACGGCGGCGCAAATGCATTGTTCCATTCCAGGTAAGTGCTTATGGATCAACCCCTACTTGTGGCTCTGGCATGGCCGGCCTGCTTATCTGTTCCGAGACTTCTTGACTTCTGTGGCTCATTTGTATATAATGACTTCCTTGCCACATCAATTTGTCATTCCTGTTCTCGTATATAAGGCCAGCGACAGTCAGGTTCTGTCTTCATCCTACCACCGCTTCCTTCGTCGCAAGACCGCTACTATGTCTGTAACAGTGGCAAGACGTTCTCCTCTTCCCTTGGTACGTAGCCGTCTCATTGCATCCAATACTGCTTCGCTCACTGCCACTCAGTGGAATCTTCCGATGCCGGTGTTAATCGATCCCCTGCTCATGCGAAGTGGCATGGCACCGTTTTCGTCGTCTTCTCATTGGATAAACGCGGTTTTTGTGTTCAGCGTGACGGACTGTCGTCTAGTTCTGTGTCTACCCCCGTTGGACTTGAGTTCGCTGAAGACGCTGTCGCTGCTCCTACTTGATATCACTGTGGATGAGCTCAACTCTCTAGCCTTTCTCGGTGGTCTTCCTCAGTTAGAGCGCTTTACACTCACATTTGTTCCCCGCCTTGATGGTGGCGGTATGCTGAGGCTGGACGGGCAGTGGCAGAATCTCACGGCCTTGGAACTGAAGACCAGTCTGAGCTTCTCATCCTGTGTGGACGCTTTAAATGGATGCGCAAAGCTCACAAACTTAATGCTCTTCCTCGACTCCAGCGTCGTCACGGCCTCGTCCTCTGTGAATCCAACGGTCCTCGTACTGCCGCTATTGACGCAGCTGAAGTTGGCTGCTCTCTCCGTTAGCGTTCTCTTGGATAGGTTGCAGCTTCCGAGCCTTGCAGACCTGTTCATGGCGAACAGGTGTTCGGAGTCGGAGCACGGGGAGCACGATGACTCATACTTCCCCCTCGCCGACTTTATATCACGCTCAGGCTGCAGGTTGGTCCACCTAAGCCTGTTTCACCTATTCTACATCGAAGACGGTCTTCTCGAGGCCCTCCGATCTTGTGACAGGCTGGAGAGCCTGTGCGTTGTGGCTGCTCCCCTGTACCCACAGAGGGATTTCCTCGACGCTCTCGTTGTCCACCCAAGATCCAACGAGGGTCTGTGCAGGCAACTTCGACACCTAGAGTTGTTGGAGTTGATTGTCGACTCCCAGGCCGCTTTGATGCGGATGATCGAGTCACGTCAGTCCAACGCAACGACTCGTCTGGAGTGGCTTTACCTGTCGCAGCGTATAAGCGGCCAATCGCCTCGGATATGGACGCTGGACGGCGTGGATCAAGTGATGATAGTGCCTCTCGAAGCGTTTGAGAAACTGGCCCGTCCGAGAAATCCCAGGTTTCGATACCCGATATTTCCCACCGACGCTGAGGGAGCCATTACGGAGGCCAGTGAAGACGCCGACGAGGGCAACTACTTCGATAGCGAAATGAATAGCGCTAGCGAGGACGACGTGGATATAGAGGAGTTCGTTCCTGAGGACTATCAAGCGCATCCCATGGCGCTCGAGAGAGGCGGTGTCAAGTGGCAATCACTATAAGGGCGTACCTCGTCCTGAGGGAAGAAGTCTAGTACTGCAATGACATGTAATATATCTTCCTATTCGTCGCAATAAAGCGTCCAATAATTTCATAGACTACCTGAGCGAGCTAGCGGACCATCGCACTGCACGTGAAGCAACTCGATCAGACCGATCACAAGCCATCATATGCATATGATTGTTCAAAGTGGCATATGCTATACTGGAGGCCAAATATTGTGGAAACTAATGTTTCCTCCTCGAACTTTGCAAGTGAGTTCTATCCGATTGTGGTGGTGTCAGGACCTTGTGTTCACACCTATAGAATCTCGATTGACGTGAGTGGCCTCCCGAGCCTGCGAGCTGGCATCGAGACCAAGTGCTGCTTCGAGTCCGAGTCTTTACTGTCGTTCGACTCTAGCGGCTTAAATAATTAATTAAACTGCTTGTTTTCGTCTTCTCAGTAACATTTATATCTTAGCCTCGCTCTCTGCACTTACGATATTTTCTAATCCATATTGTATTTGTCTGTCTCACACTTATGCACAAGGGAGGTGTCTTCTCCGACTCCCACGGGAGGAGGGGGAGAAACGAGAACGCAACTTGTAGGCGCGAGTAATTCGTGTGAACAACTTACTCAAGTACGCTACGCAATCATCCCGACTACGTCGTTGTCGTTGTCGTGCCTTTGTATTGCTCGCTCTATTGCAGCGTCGTCTTTCCTACCTTCTTCGTCCAGGAACGTCTGTCGCGATATCGTTTTGTGTCATGATATATGACAAACTACGCGTTCATCGCTAGTGCCACGCAATTTTCTGACTCGTATGGAGTCGGGGACGGTGGCACTAATTTGCGCTGATTCCATGCCGTCGGCAAAAAAGTATGTGTCTGCCCAGTTTGCCAGCAGTTTGCCCGCAGCAGGATTTCGAAGCCGTCTAGAGTTCCTGTATGTCACTTCAGAAGGCATGCAAGTGATCAATATTGGTGTCCCTGAGTGATTCCCAATAGTCATGTTCCCGGTCCGTTCCATGTCTGACTGGCTCTCGTGATGGCAATATTCGCGAATTCGGTTCCATGCGACACACCTTCTAGTCAGATACCTGGATTGGCCAAATAGTCTGTACCGAACTCTCTCGCAGCGTGGGTGAAGTAGTTGTCACCGTTTCAGCTACATTGCCAGGGAACGAACGCTGGCCCAAAATTGTGGGCAATCATGGTCGCGGCGAGCCGAGAACAACGTGCAGGGATTTGCGTCTCCATCAACGCAAGCGTGAAGCTGTTGGCAGAGAAGTATAAAGAAAGCAGGGCAAGTGTCCTGATCTCCACCAGCGAAATCACCGGGAACATTCAACTGTTTGTCATGAAGTTAACTCACACGGCCCTGAGCCAATTGCCCACCGTCCTGCCTGCCACGCAGGCCATAAACAGTTGGACTGGTGCTAATAGTATGTGGTCCACGTTTCCGTTGTTCCTGACTAATTATTCTGTGCGTAGATTACTATGTCCACACTTTGCCAACCAACGAGCAAGAGGAGCTGTTTCAAGGCATGAGTGATGCCGGCATGAAGGTATATTCATGGACTGTCACATCTCACTGATATTATTATCAAGCTGTTTATTTAGGTTCTGTGCACCTGGGTCACCGGACAAAGCAGCGGCCAGAGGAACTCAGATAATAAAGATGTTAACGAACTTGAGCATGCAGGTCTCGGTAAATACGACGACACTGTTCTGGATCTCCTCGACCAGACCATGTTGATTGCCCATAATTATGGTTTGTGGTGGTCTCCTAACGTGTTAGTAACAGGCGCACTGACTTCTTCGGCGGTCTAGGTGTCAAGCTCCTGATCGGAATGTATAGTGGTAAAAGCCCTTATCTTGAACTTATAACTGTGATGAAGTGAATACTCTACGGTCTGAGGATGTATACTTCAGAACAGCCGGTAGCGTGGATGGCTTCTACACCAATCCGAGTACGTACTCGAGCACTGAATGATGCCGAACAGATTTTAACAAATCGATAGCTACCCTCGAGGCTTCAACAATCGCATTACTCACATCCTCAATACCCACAAGCACAAGACGTTGGGCAAACCCTGGTCCGAGCTCGGCGAATACATCTTTGGCTTTGAGGCTCAGAATGAACCCATGATCTTTGACCAGAGTGCGCATATTTTTCTGACGTTGACGCTGTTGCACTGAATACTGTGTCTATTAGACTTCTATCACTCGCATCTGAATTGGATTTGCGATACTGCCAAACAGATTCGTGGCAACGTCGGTAACAAGGACATACTCATCTTCACTGGAGGCAGTTCCGGCAAGGCCAGCGTTCAGTTGACATTCTTTAGCTCGGACTGTGCCATCGACGTAGTCGCCATTCACGACTACAACGAGTGAGTGAATGTTTACGCTCAATCAATCAATGAACATCTGACCATTGGCTATCTGTATTAGTGATTTTGATAGTTTCATGCCCAGTGCCGTCTCTCAAGCCATGGCGGCCGACAAGAAGCTTATCGTGGAAGAATGGGGTTCTCTCTTCAGCTCAAGTGATAGCTCTCGGCAAGCGAACCTGCAGGGCAACGTCGAGAAGATAAACAAATACGGCGTTCCGTGGCTCTACTGGTAGCTTATTACCAACAAAGATCCCCACCAGGTAATGATAGGTTATCCATCATCAAGCGAATGATGATTCTGACATAGTATGATCTGTTCACAGGATCAGAACTACGAGGTATGCTGGCATCGGTGTGTTCGTATAAGATGACATATGCTGACTTCTTCCAGATCGAAGTTAATGGCGCTGACTGGCAAGCGCTCAAGTCCCACGCTCAGTCCACCTCTGGTGTGACGGGTGCATTCGATTTCTCTGCTGCTTTGGCGACATAATACATCAGATGCCACTAGTAGTGCAGGTTAATTCACAAACATGTACTGACTCCCGATTCGTTAAATGCAGTGATGAGGCGAAAGACGTATTACAGAATTGGGACGAGAGTAATGGATGCGAAAAGCTTCTATGTCATGGATTGCAGCATGGGAGTGAGGCTTCGAATATGTGTAATGCTACTTGACGATGGAGCGGGGTTCAGCGCAAAACAGCCTGAGGACCTGGACACAAGGCGGGTGCCACCTCGACTAACTAGATGTCCTTCTCTAGTGATCATTCATTATTTTCTCATAAAGGACTACTCGGTCTTATAGCATAAGGAGTTATTCAGAAAGGGAAGGTTGAATCAGTGGGCTGGGGATCGCAATATACACAGAATATTGAAAAGCAAGGACATGTTCATCAGATAAACCAAGGATGGCCAGACATTCACTTACGAAGTCGTCCACTACTGTGCGGCGCTGTGGCCGAGTGGTTAAGGCGACAGATTAGAACTACAGGTTATTTATCTGTTCCGCGTTGCGGGCGCAGGTTCAAGTCCTGCCGGCGTCGTTTATTTTTTCATTGCTTTCATACCTTCACGGTTTGCATGAGTTTGGACATTAGGGAATTTTCATGTTGGAGGGACTCAGCTCAAACTTAGTCAGAGGAGTGTCTCAGACATGCTTTCGGGCATCTTTCTTTCAGCGCTTTGAGCGCCAGAACTTGCCTTATTTTGTCTCGAATAAGGCGTCCTAAAACCGAAGGAGACTACCGCCAATTCAGGGTTTTCCTGATGACTTATCGATTCAGGATCCATATTGGATGCGTAAAAAATTTAAGGGCACTGGACACGAGGAGTGGCTTGGCGCGGATTATCACGTGTTGTCACGCTGCTCGTCACGCCAGACGACATTACCATTGCTGAGCAATGTCATTACGACTCTTACAGAACACTGAATGCACTGTGCATAAGGACGAACTTGCGAGGACAGTACTTGCTGTTACGGCCTGGAAGGACAACTCTAGTCTCCGGGGCGCTGTGGTTACCGGAAGCGGTTCTTGTGGATCAGGAACTGCCCCCGATACGCCGACTACTCCAATACTAGAAAGCAGTGCGCTGAATGTACAGCTTCTAGCTAGAACACTGCTTTGCATCTTAGTACTACGATGTCTCCTCGTCTTCGCGTCTTGGCTGGGCCGAGTTTATCTGCGCTGGAGCCGATAGAAGTCAACTCCGATAAGCCTGTCGAGATTGCCTCTGACGCCTTCCAGGGAAAGATCATAGCATACATCAAAGACTTCACAAACGCTGAAGGCAAGGTCCTTGAGCATGAGTACTTTCAGAGACAAGAGCGGAAGGGTGTTTCATGGAGCATCCAGGTTCAGGGTATGTGCAGCGCGTGTCGCCTCTCAAGGCACTGCAGTTTGATACGCGTAACTAGGCAGATTCGTGGAGCCACAGTCGGCGGACGACATCTTGTTTGGGAACGCTTTCGATCATTCGCTGAATTTACCTTGGGGGTCAGGGGCTGCCCTTAAGCTCATGAAGTAAACTTTGTCCTTTATCCTGCGATTCCTACCAACTGGATCATTTGGAGGCCTGTCCCTACGGAAGGTTCTGATTGGGCTCCAGTGGATCCATTTGCGTGGGATTCCGCCTTCTGCTTGCTAATCGCAGCTGACCTGTTCGCCAGATACGTCGATCCGACTCTCGAGCATGATTTGACATCTCAGACCCAACCATGGGCTTTGTCGCCTTTGATATCGACCATGCCTTTTCTGGCTCATACCCGGGATTCACCCCCGCCCTTTCCTTCCAGTATTCCCATTGCCGATGATACTTCGCAGCTGACTATGGCAGCGGCCATCGCATCATACTCTTCCGATGGATCTGCCTCATCCACCTCTTCCCTTAGCTCCATACGGTCTATGGCCTCGAAAGCCTCCAAGAAATCGAACAAGAGAGGGAAGAAGGGGAATCAGGATATGTTCTTTGCCAACGCCAACGAGCGACGTTCCCATTTCACGCAAGCCGATCGCAGAAAGCAGATTGCATTTGGCCCAGAGGTAGATCTCATCATGCTAATGACTGCTTGTCATGAGCGTTAACGCGTCAAGACAGGACATTATCACTACGGATTTCTGCTACGGCTACCTCGAGTTCAGCCCCTCCCTGGCTCTGAAGCTTCCTGGCGGCATCAGCATCGACCTGATGCGATATTGGGACGGCCAGCAAGTGCGGTTCATATGTTGCAAGCGCAGGAAGGCCGACGATCCCGACGGCGAAGATGGTATGCCCTGGGGCCAGATGTTCTGGTGTGTCGCCATAGAACTGGTGAAAACAGAACAAGGACAAGCGAACGGGTCAGTCAGCCAGGAAGCGGATTAGAGTCAAGAAATGGAGTGAAACTTCTCGGAAGTTTAGTATACGCGGTGAGAGGCTTTTGGAAGCCTGTCGACATGCGGTTTCAAGCCAGAGCTCCAGTCATTGTATTCGTTTCTTGGAATGTATTGATAGCCCCACGCTCTGGCAAGAATAGCACGAACGGCTTATTGTTCAAGAACACCCCCCAGAGATGTGCTGATAACCTTTTGCCGAGGTCCGTCAGCAGAACACCTGGTCTCGATTCTGCCTTGCCGCGATGAGTTGTACTCGATTGCATTCGGACACGACTGAACAGTCTATCTTGCATATGAAAGAGGTGCCATAGTCGCCCCTTTGCTGCGAAATGCTGCTCTACTTATAGACAAGTATTGCAATGCGAGCCAATGATCGAGTTCGTTCATCGTTATCGCTATTCTCGTCTCGTTCTAACGTTTCTCAGTGTTTATGATGAACCTCATCTCTGGCAGGGCCCTCTAGGTTGCAATGAACGATAATTAACTTATTTGCACCCATGATCCGTCCGTGTACATCAAGCATGTCGGAGACAGGTGAACTGACCAGGTAAAATGCACTATCAACAGATTCCAGAAATCATGTTAAATCCAGTTCGTCCGGACCCGCCTTGTCTGATGTCGGAGCCGCATTGATCTTCTTCGTTCAAGTCTGTCCATCTTCTATGTTCTGATCGCCGTCTTGGGTCCTCCATGATGGCTCATCGCCGCAACAGAGCCTTCAATGTCAGGATGAACGAGTTCTCCCATTTTAACCTGTCTATATCTGTGGTCCGTCTTTGCACATCCGATGGGTTGTCGGCGACAGATGAACAGGAATGAATGGTCGACAGATATTCCAGAATTCATCTCGACACCATCTTACGCCGTGACGCAGGCCAACATCGACCGATGGCGCTTCACTCTCGTTCTTGCATGGATCTGTCATCGGACGTGCGCCTGAACTTGTATTTACCTATTTATCCTGAGTGGGCTGTTGACACATTGTTGCGGCGTTCATCAATGCACACGAGTCCGCTGTGATGAATATCTCGGCCAGACAATACAATCTGTGCGGTAATCTGGCTTACGAGATACCAATACAATGTGCGCCGGGTACTCCGAGTTGATAATGAAGCTTCGATGAAGGGCGAATACACCGAGCTGTGCAAGGTCTTAGATACAGTTCCTTGCTCCAATCTCTAGGTAACAAGTACCACGAGCACCGATATAATTCGCTTTTGCTGCCGTCATGGACCACTGCCTTAGCCGCTCAGCGCTCATTTTCTATGCGTGTGATGTTGACTGCTTGTCAATCCAGTACATGCGTTGTAGTCTTCCAGGAGAGCGATGTTGTATATGCTGGGATATTTGGCAGTTGAGCAATATGTATATATACAGGCTCGGCGTTCCCATGGAGACAACATACGGTGTTGCATATGGTTCCTGCTGTACATGAGAGCCCTTCCTGTCATCTCTTCATGAATGCCTAGACGCCTTCCTGGAATAATCGACTGCTGCTGGCCACCTCGAGGATTCTCCAGTCCCCTATGTTCTCAGGGCTGTATGCACGTAAGAAACAACCGTCTCCGTGTCGGAGCAATCGCAGACCAATACGGTTGCCCAACGCGTACACTACCGACGTTGCTTTAAGCTTTACCTACTGCCGCCTGTGCAGTCTACGAGGTTCAGGGATTCTTTATACGCGTTATTTGCAGTCCGAGTCGCGACACAAAAGCTTTAAATTTCGACAAGTGTTCAACGTTCTGGCCTCGTGGAGGTCGCGACAGCTTCGCGGGGCGCGTGCTGGTCACTAACTTGTAAAGTCACTCTCACGCGATCTAATTTGCCTCTACCTCACGTTCGCCCTTCCTCTAGGCGTACATATTTCATACTACGCACCTGTCATTTCGTTTAGACTTCATGCTCATTCCTCTGGGATAACCTTAACGCCTCAGGCTTTCGATTGGTCCATACACTTGGCAGACCGGTACGTGTAACACGCCGCACTAACGTACGTAGGATGATGTCGGACCAGACGTATACGTAAACGCTTCATCGGACGAAGGATCAATAAAATGTTTGGGGCAAACGGAGGTAATCGAAGCCTCGACTGATGACTCGGGGGATCCATGGGCGAGTGACACAAGCAGTCAAGGTCACCGCCTTTGGCCCTGACGATCTCGCGCAGTGGGTCCCCATATTGCCCGTATAATGAACTTCTCGCCGCGCGTTTCGTCGAAACAGCGGTTAAGACGGTGACAGATCTTAATCCAGGGTCCGCGTGTTTCGGCACACATTCAAGGTATATAAGCGACGGCCTCATGTTAGGTGTGTCTGCGCGGGCTGTCATTTTCTTGGTTATTTTATCCGGTTCGACTGCCAGACACGAGTCCGCTGTTTCTCTTCTCCTTCGACCCCCACCCCCCCTCTTGCTCCTCTCATGCATTTCTCCTGTATTCCACGACGCTCGAGGCGAGTTTCAGACATCGACAGCCCGAGCCCAATGAAGATCATCATTCCGGATTTGGTCTCCCATTGCGACTTTCCTCTTCGAAGTAACAGTTATTGCGCACGGGCGTCCAAAGAATCCGAAGAGTGGTTTTTACGAGGCGCCAATTTAAAGAAGCACAGACGCGCAGCCTTCCTTGCCTTACGGGCTGGTTCTCTAACGTCAATGTGCTATCCCCATGCACCCTATCACAAGCTGCGGGTCTGCTGCGACTTTATGAACTACCTGTTTCACCTCGACGATCTCATGGATGACATGAAGAACTCTAGTACATGGTCTTTACGAGACGAAGTCATCGGTGTCCTTCGAGCACCCGACACGTACCAATCGTTGTCCAGAGTCGGTAGAATGACAAAAGAGTACGTTGTATCTATCTCTTACTTCGACTAGCAGTAATTGGCGGTCAATCAGTTTCTGGATCCGACTCCGTACCACGGTGACGTCCAGTGCAGAGCGCCGATTCATCAAAACATTCGACGCCTTCTTCAAGGCAGTCAGTCAACAAGCTCTTGATCGACAGAGAGGCCATATTCCCGATCTCGAGTCTTACATTATCATGCGGCGCGATACCAGCGGCTGCAGACCATGCTGGGCGCTGATCGAATACGCGAACCAGCTCGCCATACCAGACGAAGTCATGGACCACCCCATCCTAGTGAGTCTGGGCGACGCCGCCAACGAC